ACCTCAAAATGAATATTTACGTATGAAGGTTAGATTCTGCTAGTGAAGGGTTAGGGAATAGAGGTCTTCCTCCACCACCTTGCATTGTATGCATGTGGGTCAGGTAGAATTGCAATCCCTGAATTCAGGGGAGAACAGACACTGCTTCCTATTTACCCCAAGTGTGAAGAGAAACCCAAGGAGGGTTCATCTACACAGCAGGGCTAAACTCGCAATAAGCTACGCCACTTGACCAATGCTAATTGTGTATTTTATGACAAACTAGCTGATTTTGAAGTTTGAGGCTGTCTACACAGCAATTATTTTGAAATAGAGCACTCTTCCCCCAATTTCCCTTACTCCACATACAATGAGGGTTACAGATGTTGGAGTAGGACTCCCGTTGTTTCAAATTTATTTTGAAATAATGGGTTGCTGTGTAGATGCACACTACGATATTTGAGAATAACTGACATTATTCCAAAATAATGCTGCTGTGTAGTCATAGCCAGAGGGTCATAGATGGTTAAGGATTAAGGGGAGCAAGTGGTTCCATCTCTTCCCTCCTCTACCTTCTGCATCAGCCATTGGAGTTGTCCAGCTGTATGCAGAATGAATAGCCATTAAAAGTGTTTGCGTGTGCAATGCACATGCTTCCATGTGCACAAGGAAGCTCTAGCAGGTATTCTATGTTCCATGCACAATCCAATCCATGGAGTTAAACAGTAAAGTTTGAATAAAATGCTTAAAGCTGCTTTCTCTTTGTGTACTGCATGAAGAATAAATACCATGTTTGCCATAGTAGAATCTATATTAGGATGGTGATCTGAGTATCACTGATTTGTATAGATAAACAGACGATTCATTTAAATGAAATTAAGGTGCTGAACATAAGTTTAAAAAAAAGTAGTGACTTAATCTGAATTCTTACAAAAGAGACAAGCCAGCCACCTAGCACAGTAATAATCACTGCAATGTTTGGGTATAAGGTAGAGAACTCCTTGTTCATTAGGTTCCTGATTTACTAAGATGGAGCCAAAATAAACAGTATGATGAAGGGATTGTACAACATGAATTGCTATATATGTTATACTTAGCTAGCTAAGTAGGGCAATCAGCTAGCTGTTAACATGTATCATATGTCGTGCAAAGAAAAGAGGGTTCCTGAAATTCCCTTTCCAATTGTGTGCGTTAACAGATCACACTAGTGGTTTTGTGCCTTTTTTTTTCTGGTCCTTCTAGGTCAGGAGTGAGCAACTTTGTTGGCTTGAGGGCACATGAAGTATGGAAATTGCATGGAGGACCAGGCAGGAAAGGCTGGGGGAGGCTATGCCTCCCCAAGCAACTAGGTATGACCCCAAACCCTCCCTTATCTAACCTTTCTGCTCCCAACCTCCCAGGACTTCTGCCCCCTATGCAACCTCCCTACTTACTATTCCTTGACAGAACTCTGAGAATCCAACCCCTATCCAGCCTCCTCCTACTCCCTGCTCCATGACTGTGCCATTTGGAGCATTGGAGCCAGTGGCGCTGCAGCCATGCTGCCCAGCCTCCTCCTGGCAAGTTCCTGACCCCAATCCCTGGCAGGAGCTGGGGAACCAAACTGAAGGATCTTATGGGCCAAGGCTGTAGTTTGCTCCCCTTTGTTCTAGGTTTTGCAAAAAACATCTTATTATAATAGTGTGCACTGTACGATACTCTCTGGCTATGTCTACACTACAAGGTTTTTGCACAAAAACGCCTGTTTTTGCGCAAAAAATGGTGGAGTGTCCAAACCTCAAGCATGTTTTTGTGCAAGAAATCTACAGACAGAGGGCTTTTGCCGGTAGAATTATCCCTCTCCCCACAAGGAATAACTCCTTTTTGCATTACAGCTCATGCACAAAAAGCCAGGTGTGGATGCTCCAGAAGAGGTTTTGCTCAAGAAATTCCTCAAAAGCCAGGTGTGGATGCTCCAGAAGAGGTTTTGCTCAAGAAATCCCTCTTGGAAAAAGCACAGGTGCTCTGATGGCCATTCTGTGAATGACCATCAGAGCTTTCTTGCACAAGAGCATCCATGCAGTGTGGATGCTCTCTTGCGCCAAAGCACATCGCTTTTGTGATGTGCTTTGAGGTCTGGACACATTTTTGCGCAAGAAGTTTTTGCGCAAAAACGCTTGCATAAAAGGCTTCTTGTACAAAAACCCTGCAGTGTAGACTAAGCATCTGTGTATCCACTATTTCACTACTTCACAGTCTCCTGACATTGAAGATTTAAAGCAAAGTAAAGTACTGTGCTAACTTTATTATTAAACAAGCTTTAATTAAGCCACAACTGATAGAGAATGTAGTTATTCCTATTCATCAACATAAGAGCGCCAGGAGGTATATGGTCCTCCTGATTCATTAATAGGAGCTATGCATGTGCAGTGAGAACAGCATATACCTTTTTGCTTGATGAGTTAAGGTTGATTAATCCCACTAAGAAAAGCTTTTCAACCAAAAGATTGTATCAGATTATTCTGAACAGTCATATCAGATTTGGTCTTTAAAGCATACACTGCACTCTGTCAGTTCTACAAAACCTCTTTCCTACTACTGCTTGGTTCCTTCATTTTAAAAGCTCTTAGCTTCTACAAAGAGGACAACTTACTCATTGGCTATAATATTGTATAGAAATTAAAACCAGTTTCTTAAAGCAAAATCTCTTGCACGATTAAAGAAAATGATTCAATCAATAAAAATCCCAAGGACTTCAAATGTTGAAGTGGTAATAGGTTTTATTTTATTCTGAGGAGGAATGTTTGGGTCTGATTTGAAGTACTGAGTAGGGATGATGCTTCAAACTATAATTTCTCAGCATGAAACCTTTCTCAAGAATGGATATACAGGCTACCATGAGCCCTAACAGTTTTACTTAAACACATTGATGAAGATTCCCAACCAACCTGAGAGAAGCAAGCCTGAGGGGTTTGGTTCACCAGCTTGCTAAACCACATGCAAATGGAGCCATTTTGTGGCTCACACTCTGATAGTTCACTGTTTAAATATATGTTTGAAATTTACATTAACTTCTCTGTGCTACCTGAATGTTTTTGCTGTTTAAAGTACTTGTGTGTTATTGAACATCATTATTTTGATAGGCAGTGATTGTGTACATCTTAAATAACCAATTTGGTTTTCATGCAAAGAATGATGAGGATAAAGGATTTTTTAAAAGGAAATGTCATCAAATTTTAAAATCAATGAAAAAGCAGATAATTTGAAAAAGAGGAAATCTTAGTATGAAATTAATTGTAACTCTAAGGGTATGTCTACACTACCCCGCTAGTTCGAACTAGCGGGGTAGTGTAGACATACCCTTAGAGTTAGAGGAAATCTTAGTATGAAATTAATTGTAACTCTAAGGGTATGTCTACACTACCCCGCTAGTTCGAACTAGCGGGGTAATGTATGCATACCGACCTTGCTAATGAAGCCCGGGATTTGAATTTCCCGGGCTTCATTAGCATAAAGCCGGCGCCGCCATTTTTAAAAGCCGGCTAGTGCGAACCCCGTGCCGCGCAGCTACACGCGGCACGGGCTAGATAGTTCGAACTACGTAGCCATTCCGAACTATCTAGCCCGTGCCGCGTGTAGCCGCACGGCACGGGGTTCGCACTAGCTGGCTTTTAAAAATGGCGGCGCCAGCTTTATGCTAATGAAGCCCCGGAAATTCAAATCCCGGGCTTCATTAGCAAGTTCGGTATGCATACATTCCCCCGCTAGTTCGAACTAGCGGGGTAGTGTAGACATACCCTAACTTATTATGCTTAGTACTATAAAATATCTAGATGCAGTTCTATGTTTTTGTATAATGTATTAGATTACCACTGGCTTTCAACCTTTTTCCATTTGAAGATACCTAAAACATTTCCAGTGGAGGTGTTGATTTTAGGCGTCCATGGACCACTGTTTTATAGTAATGACAACCTTTCACTGATCCCTTAGAGACCAGAGGTTGAAAACCACTATCCTAGCTATAGTCAGTGCATGAACCACATCAATTAAGGTTTGTTACAGAGGCTAGGAACTTCTTCCCAGCATATTAAGTGTGGTTTTATTCTTGATATGGTCAAGTAAAATTTTCAACATCGTAAAATAGCAAAAGATTTTTTTTAATGGTTGAATACTGTTAGTAGCCTATATATATGTTTAGGGTCTTAAATAAGTGACCCAATTTAAAAAAAATGCTGAGTATCCAGCACCATCAAATGATTCTTTACACTCAAAACCATGAACACAAAATGTAGAAACTAATATAACCATGGTAGTAGAAATTGTGCTAGAGTTTACTTACCACTTAGGCTGAGCTGCAGTGCACACAACTTACAGTAGAAATTGTGCTAGAGTTTACTTACCACTTGTGTGCACTGCAGCTCAGCCTAACTTATGGTAGGTAAAATCTTTACACCATGCCATTACATGTTCTCATTCTGTATGTGCACATACGCACTGCAACTTCCTAATTTTGTTTTTTGATATAATTTTGACTGCTGTTTAATATTTTGCCTGGGGTGCCAGAGATTGGCAAATTAGTCCCATCTGTGTTTGTTTAATGATCGGTAAAATGGGGATTATAACAATATTTACCTATTTTTTAGTTCCCCAGTCCACAAAACTCTCTCTTATGAAAATGTCACACAATTTATAGTGGTAATTTGTGGGACAAAAAAGAGAGGGGAGAAGATGCCAAAAGAAGTTGAATTTGCTAGTGGTTTTGAAATACACATTTAAACATATTTAAAATCATTCCTGAATTCTTTAACATTATCTAAAGTTTTAATGGTTTAAATTGTTTTTTGGCAAGGTAAATGTAACTCAAAATGTAGCTAAAATTGAGAACCAGAAACAATGAGGGTGTTAAACTGGTGTTAGTAAGAATTTATTTTTATGCAAGATGTAACTAAATGTATAAAAATTTGTTTCCTCAGTAATGAATTGTTGATTCTCTAATCAAGCACTGACTATAAGTTTTCTTTTCTTCTCCTTTTTCCCATCAGGATTATACCTTAACAATGTATTTTCAACAATATTGGAGAGATAAGAGATTAGCTTATGCTGGGATACCTCTCAATCTTACGCTTGATAATCGAGTGGCTGATCAACTCTGGGTGCCCGACACTTACTTTTTAAATGACAAGAAATCATTTGTGCATGGAGTTACAGTGAAAAATCGAATGATTCGCCTTCATCCAGATGGAACAGTGCTATATGGCCTCAGGTCAGTACTTTGTGATGAAGATTTCATAGCCATTGTTTTGTATTGTTATTTGTTTCTGGGTACAAGGTTATTACACAATCAATGTAGCATATTATATAACATTTTGCAGAAACCCTGAAAGATGCTTGTAGAAAACAAATTACACACTCAGTGTGTCTTAATTTTGCCACCAGTGTCTTCAGTTACTTTATCTGTTTATATGACATCACTGTAACTGGAAATTTCTGTAGCTACAGGAAGTTGAAAGGGAACCACTAACTGCAAACCTAAATATTTCATTCAACAAATATTGGCAGTGAGGTTTAATTTGGGTGCTGAGTTCCACTTTTGAAGTAGATGGTGGAAAAAAAGTAAAGTCTACATTGTTAAAACATGAATATTTGTACCTTCTAAATTTTCTGTTTACTCTGGAAGTGTAAAGGGGTTTTAAAGGACACTGCTTTCAGGCCTGCTAATGGTGTGGGGAGGGCATGGGGTCAATTGCCCAGGGGCCCAGGCAATTAAAAAGGGCTGAAGGGCTCTAGCCACTGCTATGATAGTGGCAGCCAGGAATCCCACTGGCCCATTTTAATTCTCCCAGGCAATCCACAGGAATAGGCAAGGGGACAGCAAATGAAGAAAATTCTAATTTCTGTGCAACATCACTGTTATTAAGCATTGCGAGCCCATTCAAATGCTCTTGTCCCATTGTAGAATGATGATAGTTCTTTACTTGTTTTAACACATTGAATGTGTATTCACCTGAAGCCACTGATGCAGGGAGACTGACAAAAATACGTAATGCAATTGTGATATTAGGAAATACAGTCGTCAGGCCGAGATCAAATATTTCTTGAAGCAGTTCTTGAAGTAGTTCTTTGGCTCACTGTCCAATTTAAAGTTGGTGGAATGTATACATTTCAGAAAGACTTATCTCATCACAAAGATCTTTTGAAATTTTGTTGCTGTACCTTTGTTGAAACTGTTCAGCTACTGAATATAGATCTTCATCACTTAGTTCTCTGAACTCCCAAAGGAATCCAAAAGGGTACAAATTTGTCACAGTGACTCAAATCGACGTACAAGACCAGATTTGATGGAGTCAATAATAACAACAAAATTGACTCAATAATGCCTTTCTGCATCAGATTGAGATGTTAGGCTGCAGTTGGTGGAAAACGCAGATGTAATGTCAATACCCTGTACTTTCTGAGTCCAAATCAGTAGGCTTGTGTCCATTGATCCACAAATGTTTTGAATATCTTTAAGAAGTTGTTCAATGTTATCCCTCTCAACATCTAATGTAACATTGAGTGCTTCAATTACAAGATTAGTTTTGTGGATCATTTTTAGCATCTTCATTCACATGGATGATATTAAAATGCATTCAGATGTAGATGTATACTTTTGAATTGACTTAATTTCAGTGAGCGTCTGTGCTATGAGAGTAAGAGATTCAAGCTCAATGAAAGCCTTTCTCACAGCGTCCGAATGCTGTGCTACTGGTTTAATGCCATCAGTTTGTGCTGATCATCTCATTGTTGACGTGCCATGAAGGGAAACAGGCAGATGATGCTTCAGAATTTCCCACTTTCAAGGACTGCTCCTGAAGAGGTAGTGCAATTGCTGGATTGATCTAAAGCATGTGATTGCTTCTTTGCATGATTCAGCGCAATCGAGGCTGACAAGATTTAGTGTGTGGTTGCCACAAGTGGAGAACATACAATTTGGATTTTGCTCGAGAAGGACTACTTGTACTGCATTGTACTTCCCAGCCATATTGGATCCATTGTCATAGGCTTGGCCAATGCAGACTTGAAAATGTAATTTGAAGCCTTCTAGAATTTCTAACATATGAGCAGCAATTTCTTTTCCATTTTTTTCATGAAATTGTCAAACAAAATGAATCATTCTTTAATTGAAACCTTTGAACTTCCTTCAATTTTAACATATCGAACAACCAAGGTCATCTGTTCTTTATGAGAACAGTCTGGAGTAGCATCAATAATAATTGAAAAGTACTTCACATGTCATATCTCTTCAAGGACTGGTTTTTGCACAAATGTCCCACACGGCTCAAACTCATTTTGTATTCTGGTAGACAGATAATGGACTTGCATGCAAGAGAGCAGAAAATGCAATTCACAAACACGCTTATCATGGCCTGATAAAAGTGGGTCATACTTGCTAAGAAGCTCACGTACACCAAGAAAGTTTCTGTTTGTAGAGTCACCGATATGCTGACTGGAACCAAACAAAGCCAATCCCCATTCAGAAAGAAAAAGAATGACAGTCAATATGCACTCAAAGAGTTTTTCCAGTTATTAGTTTCTGTGTTTATTTCACTCAGGAGTAAGTTTTTAATTGAATTGCTGAGGCATCTTTTCTATGAGAAATGATATTATTGGCTTTAAACTCTTGACTGCTGCTTTCCTCTGTTGCTTTCTCTGTCTCCTGCTTCTACCACTTTCAAGTCTTTGCTTCATTTTTATAAAGTTTAAAAAACCAACACCACGGTAACATGACTTAAATTAATTCACTAAAGATTATTGATTGTAGAAAATTGTAATTGTATGTACTTCACAATTAATATTATCTAACAACGATTTGGGGGTGTTCTTACTACAACCTTATAGGCTTATTTCAAAGACTTGAAATTTCATCTGCTAACATGTTCCCATTATTAAATTACTCGAATAATTGGTGCGCTATTATGAATATGAACATGGGGCGATTGCCAGGTTAGATGTAAAGTTTATTAAACAACTAGAATTAAAAGTTTATCATAAAAAAGCCTTTAAAGGTGAATCTAAAACTGGACAAAGAGGTAGCTTACAGCTGATCCTGATATGGTTATTGTATACAAAGACACACAGGAAAAAAAAGGAATATGAAAATCTCCTGTGCAGAGACAAACACTTAATTTAAAGGTTAAATTCACACTCAGACCAAGCAAAATCACTTAACAATAAGAGAATTAATTACCATTTTCAAAACCTCTAATCTATACAAAGACTGTAAACAGTGTTTCATAACGTAGAATCATTAATCACCGAAGCTACTCCAGTCTCCAGTCACACAGATGAAAACTTGGATGTGACTGAAAAATTGGTGAAGACCTGAGGTTCCACAATGATTTAAATTAATTTTTTTAAGATATATATTTAGCTTCTTTTGTTGTATCTGTTATAACTGCAAGGTGTATAACAAATGGAAATGACTTGGTAGAAAAATGTCCAATCTTGAGACTTTGTCTCCTGAAGCTCGGGCCAAATGGCCCTCCTGCCCCCCACTCCCAATAGGGCCTGGATAGGGCTTCCCAAGCTTCCATTCTGTACGAATTAGGGAGGAGCAAGCCAGTTTATCTTATAAATGTGTGTCTGTGAGTCTGTTTGTTCAAGAACTCTTCCTAAGTGGTAAGGGCTAGGACCACCACATTTAGGATTCAGCTTCCTCTTATCCTAACTCAAAGCAAAGTCAGGGTTTGGTTGTGCCAGACAATGGGGGTATGTCTACACTACAGAGCTTTGTTGGAAAAACAGCCGTTTTCGCAACAAAACCTGAGGAACGTCCACACTACAATTGTGTTTTGTAAGAATATTGAAAGAACAGAGTGGTTTTTCCAGAATTGGTAATCCTCATTCTATGAGGAAGAAGTCTTTTTGGGAAAGAGCTCTTTTGCAAAAAGGGGTGTATGGACAGGGAAGAGGGAGTTCTTTTGGAAGAAGAGGAAAGAAGTAAAAGCACAGGTGCCCACAGCTTACATGCGAGAGAGTGTCCATTCAGTCTGGACGCTCTCTTTCGAAAAATCAGATCACTTTTTATATGCACTTTTGCAGTGTGAGCGCTCTCTTTCAGAGGAGAAACTGGTGGCCACCCACTACTTCTGCCCTGAGCCCCTTTTCTCCCAAATCCCTGCCCAGGCTCCTGCACCAAAAGCTCCTACCCATAGCTTCTCCTCACCCCCTGCTCTGACTTCTGCACCTTCCACCGCCTACCCTGAGTGCCTCATCATTCCCCAACCCTGATTCCTGTACCCCCCAAACACTCCAAGGTTCCTGCCCTGAGTCAGCCACATTTCCAAGTCCCTGCTCTGACTCCTGCACAGCCCACACTGCCAGCCCCATACCCAAAAGGACCCGTGCAATACCAGATAAGTTTAAAATAAAATAAAATGAGCCCCACAGAAATTTGGGAACATGCATGTTCAGCAAGTGATTTCTGCACTATCAACTATGTTTATTAAACGGTGATTTTTGCTTTTGCATACTATGTACCCTTGTTCCAAATACTGACAAGTTTTGCAGCAATCTGGAAAATTACTTTTGAATTTTTCCCTTTGTGAATTTAAATATACAAACAACATAAAGCTCCATTTCAGCATTTCTCCCTCTGGCATTCAGGGGACTTGGGGTAAAACAGTCCCACTTTTGAGGTTTAATACTTCATATTGATTTATTTGCAGTATTTACAGGGTAGGCCTAATGGTTGGCCTGAGGGTGCCTTTAAACAAAACCAAACTAAAATATTATATTTCCTTTCTTCCTGCAGTATTGCCTCTTATTCTGCCAACCAACTGCCAGCCCCATCCTCTCTAACCCATTCTGGGCCCAGCAGTGGGAACAAAGGACCCCTTCCACACAGAAATAAACACAAGATTGGCCCTTATGGGGAAAAGCAGCTCTTTACCTAAGAGAAGCCTTTTCCCATCACTGCATGCACCCCTTTATATTTTGCTTCTCCTCCCTTGTCTCACTCACTGGAAGAGGTTTTCAAAGGTCACAAGCAGCTCTTAACTAGACTCAGTGTATCCTTAATCAGCCTGAAGTAACTTCTTTCAGTTCACAGGAAAAAGATCTTTAACCCTTCTAAGAGTGATACACCTGCCTTCAACTATCCTCCCAGAACTATCAGGTCTGATTTTGTTACAAAATGTTCACAGCACATTTTAAAATCAATTAATATTAGTTATACAGCTAAAGCTTCATACTAATCGGTATAAAATCATTTATTTGGTGAAT